CCGGTTCCCCGAACCGGCCGTCGAGGTACCGCATGTCCGCTAACGTCCATCCTGACCCTTGGGCCCAGACCATGTCCGCTAACGTCCATACGCCGTCGTCCTGCTCCAACGGCTAGAGGAAGCAAAGGGAGTGGCAGAGAGTCAGTCGGGCGGTACTGTCCAGCGTGCCTGTCCACTCCACACACAGGCCAGGATGGAGACAAGGGGCGAGCGCCGGGCGAGCTGCCCCTGCTTACTTTTCTATTTCATTTTTTCCCCCGATGCGGTTGAGATCGATATCGCAGGTCAGCGGGTCACGGCCCCCCGACTTGCCCGCCTACTGGAAACTTGTCAGCGACAGCCCGCCAGCGACATTCATTGACATGCTGAGATGGCGTTCGACCGGCGCAGACCGGCGCTCGCCCGACTGACTACGGCCGGCGGTGATGACCAGCACCATTACGGGGCGCTTTTGGCGCGGCGGGACGGGAGCGTCGCGGTGACAATGGCACGTGGGCCGGCGGGCGGCGCGGGCGGGACTCTCTCTCTCCCGTCACACGTGACGAGCGCGACAGGCGCGTGCGAGCGCACCCACTACACAGGGCAGCAGCTGCAGCAGCCCGCTCATGAGCTTGCTCAAGATGCGGCCGAGCCGAGTGATTGCGCCACACCGTATCCGGCAATACATCGGCGATGTGTGCTGTTGTTGCAGGCGGCAGCAGGAGCAGCAGCAGCAGCAGCAGCCGCCGCACTCCCCCGCGCCCAGCGGCGGGCGCCGGCTCTCCCGCAGCGGCCGCCCCCAGCAGGGCCGCCCCCGCCAGCGCGGCGCGTCCATTTCGCCGGCCGCCCCCGGCGGCCCCGGCACGCCCGCGCCGTCACCCGCGGCGGCGGCGGCAGCGGCGGCCAACGCCAAGGCGGCGGCGGCGGTAGCGGCCGCGGCCAGCGCCTCAGCCGCCGGCCACGCCGGCTCCGTCACCAGCGCGCCCCCCTCGGCAGCGGCGGCGCCGCCGGGGACGCTGCGCAGGGGCCGCTCGCTCGACGTCATCTGCGAGGAGGTCCTGGGGGAGGCGCCCCAGCTCACCAACCCGGTGAGGCGCCGGCGCTCCGAGCTCATCCCGCGGGCCAGGCTCATCCCCAGGAGGGCGGCCTCCGAGACCAGGTCAGTCACAACTTCATATCTAGCAGGTTTAGCCCGGCCACGCGCCGCTTGAGCGAGGGCCGTGATGGGGGCGGCTAGACGTGAGTTCGAAGTTTGCCGGTCGGTGCTGCGTTCCGATACACCCCCCCCCCCTTCCCTAGCAACGCCATCCGTCTGGGCGCCGCGTACCCACCCAGAGGCACCCGCCCGGCCACAAGATAAACTTCCGCTATCGGTAATTTCCCCTCTGCCTCTGCAGCACGAACCTCCCAAAAACCACTTGCTAAGAGCCCCATCACAGCCAAGTGCTTCGACGGTTGGAAACCACCACTGAGCTGCAACTCGGACGGGCAAGTCCAAGCGACCCGAGGATCAGTATAGGGAAAATAAGAGGAATAAACTCACTCCTCCGAAATCAAATGACATTCCCCGGTCGATCGACCGCGCCGTCGGCTCGCCACCCCGTGTTTCATTCCTCCCCTGCCCTCTTTCCCCATCATAGAACGAATTCGGAGTAATCCCTCCCTCCCCCCTTTCCCCCTACTTGCGCCTGATTGGTTGATGATTGGATGTCAGACTGAATTATTGCTTCTCTGACGAAAGTTTTCAACTCGAGAGCGGAGTGAGTCGCCTCGCTGTGTATCTCTGTCTGGAGTGCTCCTGGAGACCCAGCCACTAGCCCAGACTCCAGGTTTCCTCCTCTCCGGAGGGCTCCGCCGACGTCAAATCCAATTTTCCGTAGTCCATTGTATATTGTTATTACTTCCGGGACCCGTCCCGTGGCGCGGCGGTCGAGCTGCGGACGGGGAGGATGGGGAGGGCTCTCTCCAAACATGTCACCCGGACCGGACGGCGACCGCACCGAATGGCGACCAATGGCGACCGCACCGAAGGGCGACCGGCGACCGCCGGAGAAGTTCGGAGACCATCTAAGTGACAAGGGCGAGGACAGTGGGAAGGGAGGAAGGAGGGGGCGGGGGTAAAAGGGGTGAGCAAAGGAATTAGTGCGCAGCGGGATACGGATCTCCGGGGGCCAGCATGGGACCGACCGAGCCTAGTTCCACCCAGCACCACGCTGCCGCGGCGACACTTATTGTTTTGCGAAATTAGAATCATTTTTCGAGAGGGGCGTTGGGAGCCGCGCTCCACTCACATCGCGCGGTGACAATCCCCAGGCCGGGCCGGGACGGGACGTTTACGAGCCGGGACACAATGGGCAGGAGCGGCGCAGCGCGGCCCGGCGCAGCCGCGGGGCAGCGTCTTAATGCGTCATTGTCACTCCCGTCGGCGACCGACAGCGATCACCCGCGACTCGCCCCGCCCCGCCCCCCGCCCCGCCACACGCACGCACCCACGCCGCGCGCAGCTCCAGCCGAGCAGGCGCGTGACGGCGCAGTTCTCAGAGCATTTCATCGCTCACCATCGCGCACGACGCCCGCGACCCGCTTTTCACTTACACCCGCCGAACTTCTCATGGCCACAGGGCCAGCAGCCGGTGCCTGCCGCCGCTGGAGGACGCCGAGCCCCGCCCGGGGCCGCCGGGGCCGCCGGGGGTGCGGCGCTGCCAGTCCGTGCGCTCCGAGGAGGGCGGCGGCCGCGGCGGTGGCGTGTGGGGCGCGAGCTACTGGCGGCCAGCGTCCGCGACCGCGGCGCGCCGCTCCAACTCGTTGTGCTGCTCGCCCGTCACACGGTAAGTCCCGGGCCGAGACCGCCGTCGTCGTGAGCCCCACAGTCAGCCGGCTCAACGTCCTTTCTTGCTTTGCAGCACCCCGTCCAGCTACGGCCCCGCGGCCCACGGGCCCGGCGCGCCTCGACGGTCGCAGTCGGTCCGCGAGCACTACGCCCCCGATGGCCTCCACTCCAGCAGCCAGCGCTGCTCGCGGTCCAACTCGTACCGCTGCCCCGCGCCCTCGCCCTTCAGGGACCCCGTGAAGACCGACGAGGAGGAGCAGCAGCCCCCGGCCGAGTCCCAGGCGTCCGCGGCAGCGGCGGCGGCGGCAGCAGCGGCAGTAGCAGCGGCAGCGGTTGGCTCAGCAGCCATGACGCGACGCCCACAGGTAAGGACTCCACTCCACTCCTCACTTGCCAGTTATTGATTATCACTGGGGAGGACTGAGGAGCGTGGCGAGGGGAAGGCACAACAAAGCAAATAGCTTCATACAAAAACCAGAGCATAAAGGCAGCCTAGTTTGAAGTAGTTTTGCGATAGTAGGTCATAAAGTTGGGGGCGGAACGTGACGGAAAGCACAGCAAAGCACTCATGTATTCATATCACGTGTAGAAATCGGGATGGAGAATGCCTTTTTGGCTTTGTGCAATAATAGTTCTGTTAAAATGAAGATTTCTGGTTTGATGTGTTCCCAAGTCATGACAAGTGCTTTGCTTCTTGTACGTTCTGATAAGAATTATGCTCATCGTTATCATCGGTCACATTGTTTTAGGTCCTGCGGGTGACAGACTCCGCGACCACCAGCAGCACCAGCCGCAGGCAACTCAGCCAGCCCGCGGCGGTTAGCCCACCCCTGGTCAGCCCGCCTCTGAGCCCGAGCCCCGAGGCCAGCCCGCAGCCAGCCGACAGCCCCCTCGGCAGCCCGCGGCCCGGCAGCCCCGCCAGCCCCGCCAGCGAGCACCACCGCACTTTCGTAAGCACACCGACGCCGCGAGTGAGATGACCACAGGTGAAAATGGGCCTAAAATGGCACACTAATACTCCCCCGCTCTCCAGGTCTCCCAATCCTCGGTGACGCTGCGCGGGGTGCCCGTCTACGACGAGTACCTATGCGCCGACCACCGCTGGGTGCGGCCCGTGGCTCCCCTCCGGCCCCGCTCCGAGAGCACGACCAGCACGACGGCGGAGAGCGAGGAGGACAGCGCCGGCACGGGTGCCACGGCGGGGAGCAGCAGTAGCAGCTGCGGCAGCAGCTACGTCACGTGGACCAAGAGCAGCCTGCGCAGCAAGCAGTGGCAGATGCTGCACAGCCCGTCCGCCTCAGGACGCAGGGGCGCGGAGGCCCCGGCGCAGCCCGCGGCCAGCCGCATCCTCAAGGACGAGCTGGTGGAGACGGGCGGCGAGGAGGGCTGCGTCGCGGTGCTCGCGCCCTGCCCGGGCCCCGCAGCGCCGGCCTCACCCGCCGTCAGCCTGCTCACGCTGGCGCCCAAGTCGGACGGGAGGCCACCGCCGGCACGCACCAGGTCGGACGCGCAGCGCCACCAGCGCCACCACAGCGAGTTCGACGGCCTGTTGCAGTACCTGCAGGACTACCGCCACGGCCTGCGGGAGCTCCTCGTCAACAACAACGTAGTCATCATCGAGCCCGTCCGTGCGTCGCAGGCCAAGCGGCACTCTGCTGAGCTCCGCGACGACAGGCGGGCGCACAGCGCCCCCGGCGAGGACCACCGCGGCGACAAGGCCTGCAGGTAAGAACGAGCAGCTGCGCCACAGTGAGTTGAGTTACCCACGCCACCCAGCTCCCTCCGACCCACGACGACCCTCTGCTTGTCCACCAGGATCACGGGTGCCATCGTCAAGTCTCCCGAGAAGGACAGCGGCACCGGGACGCACACCGCGCACGCGGGTCGAGGCTCCAACAGCAACAACACCCTGCCCCGGTCGCAGAAGCCGCATCAGCCCATACTACGCCGCCAGTTCTTCTACCAGGACCTCCTGCTCAAGATCAACAAGGAGCTAGTGGACGCCGAGCTGCCGGACCCCGACACGGTGAGCACTCACACCCACACCCACCCAAAAGGCGAAGTAAATTGCATCAGGAGAATGCAACGTACTTCTTGTGTAGGGTGCAAATCTATTTGACCTAACACCTTTATCCTCCTTTCAGGTGCGCAACGCTCGGAAGGTCTTCGAGCGGGCGGCACCGCTGGGCGTCGGCAAGGCGGGCCTCGGGTTGTCCGGACTGTCCGGCCTGTCCCACTCGCACTCGGGCCTCGACAAGCGCATGTGCTGGACAGACTCGGGCAGCCTGTCCTCGGGCGTGAGCAGCGACCTGTCGTGCTGCGACCTGTCCTGCGACACGGACCACCACCACCTGCGGAGCCTGCGCAGCCTGCGCAGCACGGGCACGTGCTCGAGCGGCAGCCTGAGCCTCAGCCAGCAGGAGGTGTTCAGCAGCGGCGACGAGTCCGAGGCCGACCAGCCGCACCCCAAAGCGCCGCGCACCGCCGCGGCCGCGCCGCCACCGCCGGTCCCAGCCGAGGCGGCCGCCCTCAGCGCCGACGGCAACCCCGTGTCGGAGGACGTGCTGCAGAAGATCCGCGCCTGCGGCACCACCGTCACGTACTTCGGCGGCCAGGTCATCGCGTGCAGCGGCGCGGGTCCCGTGCGCAGCCCCATGACCATGGCCATCATGGAGGAGATCCGGCGCAGCGCGCGGCCCATCATGCTGGGTGGACCCCTGGGCGTCAGCCTGGGCGCGTCGCTCGGGGCGTCACTGGGTATCAAGTTCAGGCTCGTCAAGAGCAACAGCTGCGGGTCGCGCCTCGAGCTCGCGGGGCAGACGGTGGGCGGCGGCGGCCGCTGGCCCAGGCCGGCCCGGAGCCACGCGGCGCCAACCACCCCCGCGGCCAGCATGGCCTCCACGGCCAGCACGACCTCCACGGCATCCGCGGCCAGCACGACATCCACGGCCTCCGCGGCCACGCCCGCCCCCACGCCAACGGAAGCGCCAGCGCCCGCCGTCAACTTCCCCATGGCGAACAGGAACCGGCAAGTCGAGGAGCAGGTCGTGTCCGTTGACATCGGGGACTCCCTAACCGACTCGCTCAGCAGCGAAGACGCGCGGAACAGCAGCACGACGACGGCGAGCAGCTGCGGCGCTGGCGAGGGCGTCAACACCAGCCCGCACGACGAGTCGCCAACGGTCGACGTCAAGGAGTTTGTAAACGCGCGGAACGCCGAACTGAGGAAGAGCGATGCGCGGAACGGGCCGGTGAGGAACGGCGACCTGCGCAAGACGGAGGTCAAGAGGAACGGTGGATCGGAAGACAAGGAGAACAGACCCGTCGTCGGCATCACCTCCTGGAAGATGAACGGGAAGGACATCAAGACCCTCGAAGACCTGCGCAGGCCCTCCGTACCGCCCATCCCCCTGCCAGCGGTGCCGCAGCAGCAGGACAAATTCGGCACTATGGAGTTCGAGGAGTTCCAGTTCATCGAGTAATAGTCATTAAACTAATTAAGAATTACTCAGCTGTCTAGTTGTTGCGGCCGGGACGGCGGGGTCAGTCCGCTGTGGGAGTGCACACCGGTGCTGGACAAAAGGCCGCATTTAGCTTTAACGAAAAGTAAATAACTGCGATAAAATATTATGTAATTTACTTCGGAACCTACTTTTGTAATGTTTGGGTTGAGATGTCACGAAAGCTACTGGTAATGTGCACCAAAAAATGCATTGACGTATGATTTAGATAAATTCAATAAATGAGTATAATTGCAGACGCAGCGTAAATCAATCTTGGAACTAAAGATCAGTCTCATCTGAGTGCGTCACCTCCGTGACAGGACTCTGCCGCGCGTTGGGCCGCCTACCTCCCGGGCGCCTGGCTGGCGCTGGGCTCAGCGTCACTCACCGCTCCCGGCCGGGACCGGCCCCACCCTGGCCGGCTGCTCCGTCGAGGACCCCGTCGAGGACTCGGGGGTCGGCGGCTCGTTCTTCTTGTCGGCGGTGGAGGTCGAGGTCGAGGAAGAATGCCGCAGTGGCGCATGGCTCTGCAACAAACACACGGGCGGTCGGGCGTTATGCAAACCAAAGTACGCAACCAAGCAGTTTGGATAAAAGATCTTATATTTTTCAGATAAAAATACACGTATACGAATCGCATGCCCCTGGAAGTTATCAAAAACTATCGGAAAAAATATAAAATCTATCCGGCAAACTTTCTTTAATGGTGCTTTTGTTTCTTTTGGGGATATGTTGCGGTAGGTGTGTGCGTGAATAATATCCTGTGTAGCGATCAACTGGTCTGTGGTCTACCATCTGGTCTAGGAGTGTCCCGAAAAAAAGAGTGTTTCAATTGTTGGTCTACCCTTTCAACTGGTCCACCTTTTCAAACAAATGGTCCACCCCTTTAACTGGCCTACCCTTGCATCGTACTTTTCATTATGTACCTGTGTACTGGCCCCTGGTGTACCGGGTGATTCAGAGCACGCGCCGCCGTGTTGCGGGTTTGCCTATCCTCGACTCGGCGGGCGCACAGGTGAGAGGTGAGGAGGGGACCCCTCACCTCCTCACCTCTCACCCGTGCGCCCGCCGAGTCGAGGATAGGCAAACCCGCAACACGGCGGCGCGTGCTCTGAATCACCCGGTACTTAGGTAAATTGGAGTATGGAACACTTTGTCGGCCAACTGAAATAAAACTTTCGCTCGAAAGATCGAAGCGCCCAAAGCTGGGGTTGTGGCGAGCGGGGGCGGGACGGTGCAAGCGGGGCCTGCTGCTGGTGGTTTGGGCAGCTTGGGTCCCGAGCTCCGGGCAAACAAAATCCTCTTCGCTCCCTACCGCCGCCGCCGCCGTCGTCACCGCGTTACCGTCACCGCGCCTCCACCGCCTTCCCACCCACCGGCAGCCACGGCAAAGGAAAATAACGACAGAGGGGCAGAAAGAAACAGTGGATAATCACCATAGCACTGTTTCGTTCGGTTGAAAATGTAAAGTACAGGGGCGCAGGTTTAGGCAAGCGGCCCCTGCAATCACGCTATGTCGATACGAGGCTGACTGGAACCTACTCGGAACGCTGTGGATGATTTACCAAGATAACGACGCGTTGATATAGCACGGCAAAAATGTTACCCCACGGAAATATTGCGGCTACAATGAGGGCACTCTTTCTGGACAGACCCCAGACCGACACGGTAGAAACTATGTTTTTATTTTTAAGAAGAAGGGGAAACTTTCAGGAGCTCCCATAATTGGAGGAAGAAGCTCCTCAGATTTTGAGGAAGTCTATTCAAAAATCAAAAATGAGAAAAACTCCCACATTTTTGAGGAGATTTCCCCAAAATATGAGTTGTCCCTTTTTCCTCAAAATATCATCAGGGCATTGTTTTTAACGTGGGCATATCGGCTATTACCGGTACTACGCGCGGAACTGCGGGACGTGTGAAAAGTAGTACGTGGGTCAATACACACACACACACACTTGCGCGCGCACACACGCACACAGTTAAGTATCTTGCACGCTATGATCTAAGCGCTGGTATTGACCCGCGAGCAAACAGGTGGCGGAGGCTCGGCTCTGTTACACTCTCGGTCGCTCTCAGTGTTACACTGTTCTGGCCGCTCGATGTAGGAGTCTCTGTCCCTCTCGTACTATGCGGACACCTCCTCAAGACTCGCGCGCAGCCGGCCTTTTTGCCTTGTTCTTCGTTCCCACTTTACAAAATTAATTCCCTAATCTTAGAAGGGAAGGGGGAGTGAGGATAGCGGAGAAGGGAGGGAGGGGTGCGAAGAAGAGAGGAAAAGGGAGGAGCCGAGAGGGGGGGCGGCGATATTTGGCCCCAGCAGTCATGCTAATTCCTCCGATTCATTTTCACTAAGAGCAGGGGGGCGTAAAGGGGAGAGCAGAGAGAAAGAGAGAGAGACAGAGCGAGAGAGAGAGAGACAGAGATAAAGAGGGCCATCCCCAGTCTGACCGAGCGGAATAGAACTCCACCTAATTGCCAATTTGCGCGTATATGAAATGCATGAAATTTCGCGCGAGTGTGAGCGGCGACATGATATGCCGTGTAGCGAGTGAAAGAGACCTGCCTATTAAAGTCGGTGCTTGTCGCGACCCATGGAGAAGCAGTCGACAGGACGACCAGGCTTTACGTAGTATTTTTTTTTAGACCGTGCGAATTACTCTGCAGATGCGGCGCCTGTTTGGGCGCTGCTGCAACGTTTAAATTGGCCCAAATTGCCTGGCCTAATTTTTCATCTGAACGGAGCGATCGCTTCTCACAAAACACGCCAATCTAAAAGAGAAAATAAAACCCTCGCGCTCCCTCTCGCACTCCCCGCTAGGCCCCTCCCCGCGCGGCGTGGGCTCGGAAACAATAAGGGGATGATGAAAATGATTCACTCTCCCGACACGCCCCCCAACATCAACTTTTGTTATATCTTTTCGAAGCCGGGCCGGGAGAAAATAAAAATATATCTTTTCACGGCCCGCGCTTGCTCCCGCCCGACATTCTGATGACCAGACTATAATAATCTTTCGTTGTTGATGGAAATGTGGCGCCGTCGTTTGGTTCACGGGCCAGCGCGGCCAACGTAGCATTAAATTAAAACGACCGAGGACAGGGCTCGCTTTAGCATTATTCAGCATTCTACCTCACGACACCACGCTTATTTAGACCTCACAGGTTTTCTCCCCTCCTTACATTACTTTCCCACTAAAGTCATTGGTCTACGGTGACGCGCGCGTGCTCACCCACAGTGAGATCCTCCTCGATCCTCCTGAATTTACGACATATTTTGTAATTTACTATTATTCATGCATTCTTGCTGGCCGGTGAATTCCAAGTCGATGCGGGTGGATACGTACAGCCGTATAGCTAGTAATTTTACCATTTTGAATTTGTAATTTTACGACACGCTTCATGGAAAACCTACAACCATTTTTCACGCTGCCCTCAGCAGCTGCCGGACACAGTGAGGTCCGGGCGGGGACCGGGGGCCGGGAGAAGGGGGTGGGGGCTTGAACAGCCCCTTAGCGCACGACACCCCCCTCAGCAGGTGATAATGGCAAAGAAAATCCACCCAAAAAAAAACTCACCACACTGTGCGCCCTGCTGGCCCTGCTCGCCCGCAGTTTGTGCAGCGCTACGGGAGGCCGGGGACGTGAGGGTCGAGCAGGCGGAGAGCACGCCTCACCGGCACCGTGAGGGACGGGCGGCCCGAGCCCCCTCCCACTCCCCCGTTTTCACTCCTCGAGACTGGCCCTGGACCCCCCTGGAAGTGGCCGTGGGGTCATCAGTGGATTGGGGCCGGGGTTAGGGAGGGCACGTGACGCTATCACACGACCCGCTGCGTTGATGGACTGCTGCAGGCTCGTCGGGGGCGAGGTAAGTAGGTGTCTGGCCTCAAGAAGAACGGGTCCGTCCAGAGGTCCACGATGACGCACCCAGGCCTAGGCGAACCCGAGGCACCCAGGGCGCGCCTGCATCGCCTCCGGAGGAGCAATAGGAGCAATAGTATGGCCTGCAGAAGCCAAGCGAGTCGGGGAGCTCGTCAGGTCGTTAGCTGCCATGGGGAGAGGAGAGGGAAACAGGCGAGGTGACGGGCGGCCTCACCACAGCATGTAAACCGTTCTTGCCCGCCTCCATCCCCCGCAGTTGGCGGGCGGGGCACGTCTTGTCCGGGTGGGGGGTGAGCGACGACGCCCCGGGATGAGGTTGTCGCGCTGCAGCTAGTACTCCGAAGAGATAACGGCCGACAGTCGGCGCCAAAAACTCGTAAATTCTGGCGGGGCGCGCGGCGGGGCTGAGCCGAGCGATCGAGCGGGAGGAGCACATGCTTGAGAACCGACGGTCCCGTGGGGATGAGAGCGGGTTGACCTCGACAGTGCGGCGTTCGCAATTTTCGGTTATTTATTCCGCCAGCCCTCAAGAAGCATACTGCCTCTGTGCATTATGCGGTATTTTATCTAAAGTTTCGCCTCCCTCGGCCGTTGCTGCCGCAGTGCCTCGCGCTTCACATCGGTCCAGCGGACAGGCTCCGGGAGCTCCAGCCGCGCTGCAGACTTGGCCATTTACCCGTGCAATTTTCCGAACCGCTGGGCGTTGCTAGCCCCCCCCCCCCCCCCTCTCTCCCTCCCCTCCCCCCCCCCTCCGCTCCCTTTTCCCTTCGCGCCCCTCCCGAGGCTGGAGCAGAAGGGCGACGCGGGGCGCCGAGGGGGGAGAGAGGTTTCCGGCAATAAGCGAGCATGTGCCCCCCATACCCCTTCCTGTTTACCACTCGCAAGCCTTCCGTCGAAAGCCGCATGCCCGGCGCGCAACTTTTGGCGCATATCGTTAACTTGTCCTCGTCGTCGGTGCAGCGTTGCGCTGCGAGGGGAAGGGGGAGGGGTGAGTACCAAGCACGCCCTCCAACAACTGCCCGCCACCCGGTCCACATGCATCCCTCAGGGGGACACGCCGGGGCGCACAGAGAAGTAAAATGGGTCAACAGCGCGGGCCTCAGTGGGGCAGCGGGCGAGCGGCCGGGCGCAGAACCACCCCAAGCTCCTCCGCTGTAAACAGTTTGCAAGTCATATGAGCAGCACGCATCTCACCCCGTAGTATTGCAGGCACGTTGTTGTGCGAGGCGGGCCGGCAGAGCCGGGCTGCGCAAACTTTGCCCCTTCTTTCCGCAAATCCCAGTGAGGCGGCACCCCCTTCCCCTCAGTGGAGAGAGAGCGAGAGGGAGGGAGAGGGAGAGAGGGAG